CCAACTAGTGCCAATGCTCCTCCGCTGCTCCAAGCCGTCTAAGTGGTGACAACCACCAAGAGTAACAAGAAATCCACAGCTACAATGATCCCCAAGTGCCACTAGATGCAAACACTCAAGCAAATGCACTAGGAATCACTCCTAATCTCACTATGATGATGAATCAATAATGAAGATGAGTGGGAGATGTTTGCTTAGGCTCACAAGGATGTATCATAGATGAAAATATGTAAGAGAGTGATCCCAAGGCGCCCCAAGTCTATTTATAGAGACCCCAAGATCAAAGAGCCATTGGTGCCTGGGGGGTCGACCGGACCCAGCGACCGAACCCAGCCAGAGTCCGGTCTTGGTGAGTCCGGTCAACCGATCAACCAGGCACGCCACGCCATGTCAGCCCGCGTTTCAAACTAGCCATTGGCGCCTTTGATCTCACGTGCGCACAGGAGACCGGACGCGCCACTCAACTGACTGGACCCAGCGCCACCTAGAGTTCGGTCACTTCCAGAGAGCTCCCAGAGCACTCAAAATTGACTGAACCCAGTCTGGTCTTAACGACCAGACCCACGCCTGAGTCCGATCCTTAGTAGCTCAGCTCCTGCGCTTCACTTAACGACGATCGAACCCGCAATGATCGGACCCAGCCGTGCCACTGTTCACCAGAGTCCGGTCAGGGCAAAAAGCACACAGAGAGCTCCAGACCCCTTTAGACCGAGTCCGGTCAACCACGAACTACCACGCGTCCACTCGCCAACGAAGCTGAACAATCGGATTCTCGCCACCAGGCCCGATCTCACCTCTTCGTCGGGTCCAGTCCTAACTCAGCCCCCTCGGCTTCACTGTAGCGTCACCAGGGTCCAGTCCTAGGGTTTCTCCTCCTTTTCTTTTTTCTATCTCCTTAAACACTTCACCCTTGCTTCCAAGTTGCTAACCACAAAGTGTACAACTTATGTGCTCATGTGTTAACATTTTTCACAGCATTTTCAAGGGTAAATTGTTAGCACACTAGGTCCCTAATGCATATGCAAGAGCAATGCCACCTAGTGGCACTCGATAACCGCTTAGCCAAAGATTTCCTCTCTTTATAGTACGGCTATCGATCCTAAACGCACTTACACCCTCTGTGGTGTCTTAAGTGCCAAAACAAAAACCTATTTGATACCTTTGCCTTGATCTCCTTGGTTTTTATTTTTCTCTTTCTTCTTTTCCAAGTTAGAGCTTGATCACCATCATCTCATGTCCATCTCCATCTCTATGGACTTCATCTTGCTCCACCACTTGGATTGGACCATCCTATCTAGTCACACACTTAGATGCAAGGATTAGTCCATAGGTTTTATCAGTTATCTAAAACCAAACTAGAGCTTTCAGCGGGGATGTTCTTAGGAGCTTCGGGTGTGGTTCTTGAAGGTATTGCTGATGTTGAAACAGCCGAGGCTATTGCATGCAGGGAAGGTTTAGCGCTGGCTTCTGGTCTAACACTCCAATCTATCTGGTTAGCTTCAGACAATGCTAATGTCATAAGAAGTTACAAATGTTGATAGGGAGACTATGGCCTTGTTTGGTTGAGCTGTGACTTTTGAAAAAGCTACTGTGGGATGTGACTTTTAGAAAAACTGCTTTGAGATGTGGGCTGTGACAAAAGACAAAAGCCCTTTGGCTGAGACCCCGTGGCTTCTGTCAAAACTGCTGCCATACTGTCTCACTTACAAGCGGACCCCGCTTGTCATCCTCACATCTCGTTCATCTTCCTCTTGGATCGCATGGAGAGAGGCCGCCGAAGGGAGAGGAGCTCATCCGCGCGACTAGAGAGGTGCCACCGGAGGGAGAGGAGCTCATCCGCGCGACTGGAGATGGGCACCGGAGGGAGAGGTGCGCCGCGCTTGGGATAGTGCCGAGCCCGCCGGAGGGAGAGGTGCGCGCCGCAGGGGTAGGGGGCTGCGCTCGCGTCGGAGCCAAGGCCACCGTCGGTGCAGCGCCGCGCCAGGGCAAGGTGACGCACGCAGCAGCGGCCGGAGTCAGGGACCTGCGCCCGCCGGAGATGTGGACGAGACCGAGCCCGTTGGAGGGAGAGGTGCGCACCGTCGGGGTAGGGGGCAATGCCAGCGTCAGGGCCGCATCAACGCTAGGGCTGGGCGGCGCAAGCAGTAGCGGCCGAAGATGTGGACGGGCCGTGCTCGACGGAGATGGGGACGGGACCGTGCCCACCGGAGCTGGGGCTACGCCCCGCCAGGGACGGTGCCGAGCCCGCCGGAGCTAGGGCCTTGACCGCATCGTGGAAGAGAAGCCTAGCGCGGAACTCTACGATGGGAGAAGTTGCGGACGGAAATAGAACATAAGAAAAAAACAAAACCAGTATCCTCATAACTAGTGGTAGGTGGGTAATTTTTTTGCCCCAAATACAGCTAAAAGCAGGGGTGAGGCTGCTTTCACTTTTGTAGTAAAACAAAAGCAGCTTTTGCCCTATAGCACCTAGTGCTTTTAACCCCTTTGGTTGGCTTTTGGCTTTTGCAAAAGCAATAGTAGGTTCAAAAACCCAACCAAAAGGGGCCTATAATCTCTATACCTTTCTGCAATCGTCGACAACCTGAGTTTTGGGCGTGGCATCATGAAAGAAAGGGGATCTTCACGGTGCGTTCGGCCTACATAATGTTAATCACAAGACGTGTTTTGTTGGAGAATGCCAGAAGGTCAAATAGGAGAGAGGCAGAGAAGGAGTGGTCCTCTTTGTGGCAGGTCCAGGTTCCTCCAAAGATAAGAGTCTTCCTTGGCGCCTGGCTCAACACTCTTTGCCTGACGTCCTTCATCGCCAGAACATGGCATACCACAACAGTTGTGCTCTGTGCGGTGCTCAGGACTCCTAGCGTCATGCTTTGCTTGAGTGCAATATGGCACGGTGTGTGTGGGCGCTTGAGCAGGAAGAGATTGTAGAACATCTGAGTGAGATGCACGAGGAAGACGCCAGGGCATGGGTGTCTGCTTTGATCAAATTAGTGTCCCATGGCGATCTCATTCGAGTGGTGGTCAGTCCACTATCGACACACAGCTTTGTTAATAACTATGTGTCTGATCTTCTAGCGTCTAAGCTGCCTCGGGCAGTGAAGGCGTCAGTCCAGACCAGCGGCCTGTTCGCTTGCTCGTAAACGATCGTAAATTTCCAGCCGAGAATAGTATTTTTCTCTCACACCAAACCAGCGAGCAGTAAATAATCCACGATACGATACGGCCTCCCGAATAGGCTGCAGGCATCCGAAGTGGTTACCACCTCCAGCGGGATGCATGAAAGTTAATGTTGATGCAGCAATTTCTAAGAACTTGGGTAGAGCTTCCATGGCCGTTGTTGCCCGTGATCAGGTGGGGATGTTCTTTGGAGCTTCGGGTGTAGTTCTTAAGGTATTACTGATGTTAGGCTATTGCATGCCAGAAAGGTTTACGGCACCTCCAGTGTAAACATCGAATTTACTCTGCTCAAACAGTGTTGTGTCAGAACGTTCGATGGCCACAACGTGAGCATCGGTTTGTGGGGCCTGCTACTCTTGTTTTTCTCTTCAGGTGTCAGCTCTGGATAGGCTGTGAATCCACTGCTGCTGGTCTAGTACTATCTTGCAATTGAGAGATGAATTTTTTATTCACCTTGGTTCGACTCTTCTGCAACATCCGATTCCAAATCTGACACACATGGTTCGGCTGCTGCAGTGTGCTCGGTTCGACTTTTCACTCCCACGGTTCGATTCTCGCGTACATTGGAGCTGCTCTTAGCGCTGGCTTCTGATCTAACTCCCACGGTTCGATTCTCGCGTACATTGGAGCTGCTCTTAGCGCTGGCTTCTGATCTAACGCTCCAATTCATCTGGTTAGCTTCAGACAGCGCTAATGTCATAAAAAGTCGTGAAGAAACAGGCATGGGCCCGTATGGCCAAGTTGTGAGGGAGGTGAAGGCTAGGGCTCGTGATTTTAATTTTGTTGATTTTGCTCATGAGAATAGAAGCTCAAATGTTGATGCTCACAATTTAGCTAGGAGTTTAATCTCTTTTGTACCAGGCAGACATGTCTGGCTGCTTACTCCGTCTGAGGGCGTTTGTAATTCGTATGATCAACTCAATTAATAAAGAGTGTGGTGTTCTAAAAAAAACATATATATAGGGGGTAGATTTCTAGTGCAAGCGACAGGCGATCATACACACTATAGCTAGCGTCTTTAACACAAATCATGGTGCGCGCGCACATTAGCTAGCTTTAGTGAGAGTTGAGCGGAGCCTGACATGCACCATCGTATACACACTTAGGCGCCTGCAATGACTAAACAATGCTGCATAATGCACATCAATGGAGCAATGTGCCTTCCAGTGCTGCATGGCTTTTATCACGATGATGACTAAACATTCTCATCCTGAATCACACAGAGACCCTCTTTTGGGCATTGTTTGGTGACTCATCGTCGCTGAATAAGTGGACTGATGTGGATTAAGAGTAAGCATATGTATGTGTTCAACACTTCAACCTAGTTCGTCAGACCTTTATTTTGCCCAAGCCAATGCAAGCAATACTCGTCGGCCGCAAAGTGGTTTCCACGGTTGGTGATCCACGCAACAATCACTTAATTTCTTTCTGCTAGTGCATTATATATATAATCAGTTTACCTTTGGACATGCATAGCACGCATAGAAACAAAAACTAAAAAATTGTTCAGTCAGCTGCAGGGATGTCTATCATCTTTCTGAACAAATGACCTGAACTGACGACATTCGACGGCCATCATTCCCTCAGGCTAACTGGAGCCACACAGCTGAGTTACATGGAGCCAGGCCTTTTGCTTCTTGTGGCACAACCACTCATTGTGCTATTCAGTTGTGTTGCCTCAGGGCTCAGGCAGTATAAATTGGTTGCCTCCAGCCCTCCACTTGAGGCAAACATGCTACTCTGCGGGTAGCCATCGGCACATTCAGCCCTTGCACGCTCAGTTTGGAGAGTGGAAGCCTTCGCAGCCGCGACAGCAACCAAGAATGGTTCCAAATACGGTTCGTGTTGCAGTAGGAATCCTAGGTGTGTGTGACTAGTTCACATCTACAACTACCACATGCTGTTCGAATCATATCATATTGTTTCCCTTCTTGAATATAACTGTAATGTAAAGCCTATACGTCCCTCTCTCTCTGTCTGACTGGTCTCTCTTGCAGGAAATGCTGCTTCCATGCTCCTCTACACAGCCCCTATGTATGCGTCATATATATCCTGAATTATTATATTACTATGCATGTATGATCATCCGAAACTGGCTAATACTGCGCATGCAACACATGTTGGACCAGATTGACGTTCAGAAGGGTGGTGAAGAAGGGCAACGTGGAGGAATTCTCATGCGTGCCATACATCCTAGCGCTGCTCAACTGCCTCCTGTACACCTGGTACGGGCTTCCGGTAGTGAGCTCCGGATGGGAGAACTTGCCCGTTGCCACCATCAACGGGCTGGGCATCCTGCTGGAGATCACGTTCATCGGCATATACGTATGGTTTGCACCAGCAGAGAAGAAGGCAAGTGACTGTGCCGCCAACGACGCATTATATATCTTCTTTCATTCATTATTCACGCGTATTGTCTGATGAGTGAGCCTGAACTGCTGAATGTTGTGTAGCTGATCCTGATGGTCTCTTCGATTTGCAGAGGTTTGCCTTGCAGCTTGTGCTTCCTGTGCTAGCGCTGTTTGCCTTGGCAGCGGCTTTGTCGAGCTTTATGGCGCATACGCACCACATGCGCAAGGTTTTTGTGGGGAGTGTTGGTCTGGTGGCTTCCATATCCATGTACAGCTCTCCAATGGTGGCAGCTGTGAGTATTTATCAGTCCTAAGTATATAGACATATAGTAATACTATACAGTATACACGACCTTCACACTGATGAGTAACATAGAACAAAATGTTCAGTTGGACAACACAACTACTAGCAGAATCCCAGCTCATGATAAAACCCTGTCCTGATGAATTAGCAAAGGCTCAATTCTGAATCTGACCAACCTGTCATGTAAAAAAAGTCAGATTCACCGATAGTTAATACAGAAACCAAATCGAACTAATGAAGATAACGGCGTAAGGCCAGGTCTTCAATTTTCCACTTTGACAACATTTATCTACTACATTCTTCAAAAAAACATTTGTCTACTACGGTCGGCCAAGTGTTCTAAACCAAGGATCTTCTGGGCCGAACACCTGTGATTGCAGAAGCGAGTCATAGCGACGAAAAGCGTGGAGTTCATGCCGTTCTACCTGTCGCTGTTCTCCTTCCTGTCCAGCGCTCTCTGGATGATATACGGGCTCCTAGGGAGGGACTTTTTCATCGCGGTTAGCACATCATCTGGATCTGATTCTGATCAAGTTCACATGTTCATGGATAAAACATATATATACATACAGAAGTACAGAACCCAGTTAACCACCGGACTCTTGTCTGACCCTTCCGTTTGCTTGCTTGTTCTTGATCCTTTGCAGTCGCCAAACTTCATCGGCGTTCCGATGGGCATGCTTCAGCTGCTGCTGTACTGCATCTACAGGAGAGGCGACGGGGCAACAGCTGAAGCAGAGGTGCGTGTGCATGGCGCCGCCGCTGATCAGGAGAAGGGCCTGAAAGCAGCGGTGCCGATAGCCGTGCAGGTGCAGCCGCAGGAGACAGCTGCAAGCAGTAGGGTCAATCAAAATGTCTTAAATCAAAATCACCTGTGACTTTCTTTACCTCAGTCTGCGGCCCAGCCCAACGGCCCAAGCCAACACCGCACTGGACTCTCCGTCTGAATAGAAAGTTGGGCTCATGGGCTGTACGGCCACGCAGCAGCGACCCTCCATGCTGTAATCACAAATCCTTAACGGGGCCGTGCGGAGGCCGTATAAGGACTACTTTGTCAGGAGGCCCGTGCTGCTTGTGTTTTGGCTGATTCCGAAGTCCCCCAATTGTTTTTTTTTTTAGAAAAGAAGTCCCCCAATTGGTGGCCAGTGCCCGGTGGGTCGTCAGGGCCATCTCCAATAGTAACAATAGTTCATCTCATAAAAAAGATGCACATAAGCTGACCCATCATTTGCAATGCATCTTTTCATTTTCATTGATCACCTCCTCTAAACAGATTACCAAACCCTTTCAGAAAAACAAAAAAATTATCAAAACCTCAGATCCTATTTTTCTTCCATCTCTATTTTTATTGTCCATGCACACTTTATTATAACTATACTTCTATATCATAATAATTTTGGAATTTTGTATTCAACCATGACATATATAGGGTCCAATGCACCAAATAATCCATGAAAAACATGACGAAATCTATTGCCCATGCAGTTACTACATATATGCTAAAAAGGTTTTTTTTAAATAATGGCAGGAGCTCTACCGCTCAATATGCTAAAAAGGTTATCACTAAATTGTTCATCTATCTCACACTTCTAGAAAATCTTTAGGTCCAGTTTTATTCTTCTCTCGAGTCTGATGGTTGTATCCACTTGACTCTTTCGACTAACCTTGCTTGTTCTTTTTTGTCATGTTGTGTGCATGATCATTTGTGATGTCATAATGTGTCATAAAGTTTTTCAATCCTAAAATCTACTAGACCCACAACTCGGCGCCCAACAACATCGAATGCTTAGCGGTGTCCTTGGAATGGGGGGTAACGGAGCAGAGTACCGAGGGAGGAAGGAAGAAATAAGAGTACTAGGATGAGCTGAGACTTCTTTCTGACACATTTAGGAGTGAGGAGGGTTGTGTGTTTTGGTATTGTAAGTAGGATGAACAATCAATCATAGATCTCTAATGCTCTCCCCCAATCCCCCCACATCTTCAAACTTCATCCAAAGCTGGCACTAGCCTAATTGTTGTCCACCTGTCCCCACCCCATGGTCACTACCATTTGCGCGCCTACCACCACCACTATCATCACCTATGGCTACACTACTACAAAATAAGCTATCACTGCCGACCCTAACACTACCGGAATTTTAAAACCAACACTAATAGATGCATCACTGCCAATTCGTAAGAAAAAAAGCTATCATTGCCAGATTTTCTAACAAACCGATAGTGATAGATATTATCACTACCGGTTGGTAATAAAAACCGGTAGTGATGTCTATCACTGTCGGTTGCATTTCACAGACCGACAGTAATCCATAGTTCCGGACACGAAATTTTTATTCATCCGGGTTAACTCGTCCGTACACACCTTTCTTCGTCTCTCCCTCTCTCTCTCTCTCTTTCTTCACAGACCACCAGTGAAGATATTTCTCTGCACTCCTCAGACCTCCTCCTCCCCCAAATCTCCTCTCCAAATCCACCTTGCTGCGGCCGCCGACAAGCGGTCGAGACGCCGGCGCGGTGAAAGCATGAGGCCGCCGCAGGCGCGAGGCCGCCATGGGCGCCGGTGAGCGGTTGGGATCCCGGCGTGGCTTCTTCCTCCTAGCGCTGGCGAGCGGATCCACCCGGCGACGAGCTTCTTCCTCCTGGCGACCGGCGCAAGCTTCTTTTTCCTCGACAGTGCAGCCTTGCTTCTCACACAGCATGAGCGCGGCGCGGGCGACATCAGGCGGCTCATGTGGATCCACCTCCCGGTGCTCTTTCTCCTCTCTCACACTCTTTCTCCTCAGATCTGTTTCTTGGGATTTGCTTGTTGGAGTTCCCGATTTGAGGTCCTTGTTGATTTATTGTGGCACTTCTGATGCATGTGGGTTTAATTAACGGCTTGCCATTTCTACCATTTTTCTTTACTCGCTCACTTGTTTTCTTACCGCCGATGTTTGTCCTCTGTTCTTCAGGTAATCGCGTCGATTGGACCCGCAGGTTCCTGCCATTTGGGTGAGCCAGCCTTACCTGGCAATCTTGGGGGCGTTTCGTCTTGTTGCGTGGCAGAAAGGTGTGACCTAGAAGCGTGGCCTCAGATCTAGTGTTGGAGCGACTTGGCCTGCCCGGCGGCATCCCCAATCTCCCCCTCCTGGCCTCCCCTCCCCTCCCTCTATGTTGTGTGAATCAATTTGTAGATGAGTTATTTTGTTTGTGTTGAACCCTGCTCCTTTGTCTGTGATGTACGAATCAATTTGTGGATGGGTTGATTTGTGATGTGTTGAACCCTTCTCCTTCGTCTGCGATGCACAAATCGATTTGTGAGTGAGTTTTTCTGATGTGTTGAATCCGTCCTTTAGTGGCGGCGGTAGCCAGCGAGCATGGTGGCGGCAGCGGTGGTAACGAGCATGCTCCAGCCAACATGCTTGGTGGATTGCTTTTTTTTTGTTTTTCTAAACCTTATCACTGTCGGGTGAAGCACCGGCAGCAGTAGCCAGAGCATCACTGCCGACATGCCACTGTCGGTTCAAAATCCGGTAGTGAAGGGGGATTTTGAACCGGCAATGATGTTGAAAACTGGGGTAGTGGCTAGTGGCAAATGCCGCTCCAACCATCCCTTTAACCATGGGGATCTCCAAATTGACCTAGACGACCCCTAAATACAACCCCCTCCCCGCACGCCCCTAACCTAGCGTGAACATAAAGGAGGGACAAAGAAAGAAGCTGACAAGTCAACTCACAAAGATCCTAAAGTCCCCCTCTGAATTCTCTAGGAAAATTCTCTAGGAAAATTGGGGGATTCACGACACGTGTTTATCAAACTATGAAGGAGATGTAGTTTTCTTTGCAATGGTCCCCATTTAGGCCTGTTTGGTTGAGCTGGCAACAGTCATGGGCACTTGTTGATTGTCGTGGATTCAAACAAGACACGTGTATCGTGTTTATGGTTTCAAATATCCACATGCATCCAACTCATGAAGGAGATGTAGTTTTTTTATCTTTGCAACTATGGAAAAGCTTTTATTCCACCAATCTCCTAAATTTAAGCAACAATCCGGAAAACCCCTTTGTAAGCACCTCCAAAAGCAACTTTTTGGCTTTTGGCTTTAGCAAGCCCAACCAAACGTGATGGACACGTGTCATGAATTCAAGTTAGATGCCCACAGCTGCTCTCTAGGGGAACTGTCCCATTGATTTTTTTCCCTGAAAAACTATACGCCCCTTATTTGGAGCACGTTTGATATACCAAAGTTAGAAGATAGAGCTGCTGAGTGGTCTGAAAAGGTCAATTATTTCACATGGCCACTACTTTGTGGATGATGGTGATATATATATGTTTACCTTGGGAAGGATGTTTCAACCACGGATATGCCTGTACCATATCTAATAGTCTTTTTTTTTGACTTTGTGGTGCGTGCAACTTAGGCCTTCTTTAGATCTCACCTAAAATCCAAAATTTTCAAGATTCCCCGTCACATTAAATCTTGCAGCACATGCATGGAGCATTAAATATAGGTAAAAAGAATAACTAATTGCACAGTTTGCCCATAATTGACGAGACGAATCTTTTAAGCCTAAATAATCCATAATTTGATAATTTTTACTAAATATAAACGAAAGTGCTACAGTAGCCAAAAACTAAAAAATTTCGCATCTAAACGGGACCTTAATACTTACACCTTTCGTCCAAAAAGAATGTCACTCTAGTTATGATTTTGGACAAACATTTATATAGATCTATAGCTATAATGACATTATTTTGGGGGGCCAAGGGTGTAGTCGTGTAGATTACAAGTTTGAGACATCTTTCTTCTTTTTTACTTTGTTGATCTGATGTGTACAGTCCCCAAGGTTTATCGGCTGCCGAAAGGGCATCTTTCAGCTGCTGCTCCACTGCAGTCTGCACCTGTGTATGTACATGCATGTCTACGTACAGGAGAAGCGACTGAGGTGCAGACTGGTGAAAAAGCCCCACGCATGCATGCCACCGATCAGGAAGATACATGGCCTGAGAGTAGGGCCACGCATTGCATGGCCACCGATCAGGAAGATACATGGCCTTTTTATTTTGAATAATTGTCCAAACATTGAGAGTAGTAGTGGTAGCCGCCATGCCTGCGCATGCATGCAGATGCAGATGACGCTTTTTTGCATAGTGTCAAAGTTGAGATAACTGGGTGAAAAATGCCTGCGCATGCCAGAGGATGCCAGAAATACAAAACCAGATACAAGATTGATGTGTTTTCTCTGAATCTGAATGAAATGGTAGCAGAAGCTCAGAATGAAGTTGCCCTCGGAAAATGGTGCCGTGGCAGCCTGCGACGACTGACGACGTGGCTCACGGCACATTAGCCGCCACATCAAATCTCATGGCCCATCAAGAGTGTCAAGAAGGAGAGAATTACCAATATCTCCTCTCGACCTCTTCTACTAGTACATCTGTACACGCTAACGCTAGCTTTTGTATGGAGTATAGTAGTACGTGTATATATATGTATATACACTGCATCCATGCATATTCCGCCATGTGAAGGAATGCATGAATGGACTACAGGAATTAAACCAATGCAAGCAATTACCTAATTAACCTGATGGAGCCTACTAGCCAACACCGTACTCGATCGCTGCATGATTCGCCGGCCTGCATGCATGGGGATCGGATATCCATCCATCCATCATTGGTTCTTGCGTTGCCGCCCGGCTGGCGAGCGAGAGAGATTCGTTGCTGCGCTGCACTGCACCCCGGCCCGGTCCCCGGCCGCCGCGCGCACCTTGGACGGTCAATCGATGCTCTGCATGCGCGCTGTGCCGTGTCTCGGTTCGTGGTTGCAGGCCGCCGTATGCTGTGCAGGCCGGCATCGTGTGGTGTGGTTGCGTCGTCGACTCGTCGTCGTCGTCGCCGGCCTCGTGCTGGTTTCTAGCTAGCTCTCGCCGACCAGCCGACCTGCTAGCTGCTTCCGCGCGCATGCATGCACTGTCATTGTTGACCCTTGCGCACGCGCGCACGTGCTCTCACTGTCTCACACAGCTCATCATGCATGCACACCCAGCGTGCAAGTTATCTACTAGTACTAGGCACTACTAGCTGATGATGGAGCTTAGAATGGACACTGGAGCACGTCCGTACAACGTTCATGGCCCAATGCAACAGTCTCTACTGCTGCTCATGTTTGAACCATGATCCAAGGTCTCGTCTAGCTAGCTAGCTACCAGCGCCGATCGATATATACATGCCGACGACTCTTGAGTCTTTACTACTACTCCAGAGAATGAGTAAAGTATCCAAAGCCCCCTTTTTTTGAGAGAGAGCAGATCCAAAGCCCGGTTTGGATAAAGACAATAGACAAGGTTCACGTAGGTATCCCACTACCTACAGAGAGGCTACAGTTGCACACTGCTGGCATCTGCATCAATCTTTGGATATGTTTGAAACGGGTGTGACCATGGTTTCCCAGCATGTCGGCAAACAGCGAGCACCCTGCACGCATGGTTGGCTTCTGCAACTGCAACCACATCTCTATTTTAATGCAACTGAGTGACTGACGACGACTTCTCTGGAAAGCTATGGCTGCTACTCCCTCCGTTCCAAATTAACTACCATTTTTTATTTTCGTACCACAAATTTGACTAGATTTGTAGAAAATATACGTGTAATATTTGTATCTCCAAATAGATATATTATAAAAATAAATTCAACGATCTATATAATAATATTAATTATGTATCATAGATATTAATATTTATTTATATAAAAAAATAGTTAAACTTATTTCTCGAAAAACGAGAACGACAATTATTTTGAGGAAGGGAGCATGTGCCAGGCCGGCCGGGCACATTACTTACAGTGGCCATGGTGGTGGAGCTCAACGATCTCGTCGTCTGCTGGCTGTTCAGCCCGTCCCGCTGCAGAGGCCACGTGGACGCGTTGGCCACTTATGTGTGCATGATTGGGCTTTATATTAGCTCTGTACCGTCGCTACCAGGCGTGATCGCGCTACATGTACCTCCACGTACGTACCACCAACTTGCATTGCATTGTCACCCAAGCTGCGTGCTAGCTGTATATATATCCTCTATTCCTATTTCCTCTTCTATCCTTAACATGCATGCATACATCAGCGGTACTTGGAGTTTGGAACTCTAATAACCACCGCGTGCATGCAATTTTTTTTTTGAGAGTTCAACGTGTTTTTTAATTATAACACTTTTCCTAATGGTCAGATGGCTGAGTTCTCAGGCGATACCGTATCCACTCTTGCCTTGATTTTTCCTCCATCTAGCTAAATCTCAGCCTTACATGTTCATGAGCCAACTGCGAAGATTGTTGCTTGGAAACATACTACATTTCAGGCACTTGAAATATACCGAGTTCTTCGTTATAAACTAGAAAAAAGTTATAGCTAATCCAAACAATCTGGACTATCGTGTATGCAAGAACATAATAAGGTCAGGGGCAGAGTTAAAACAAATCGGAGGGGAGGATGAGTTAATTGATTTATGACATGAGGTGTATTTTTGCATTTCTACGTGGTTGCACCTGCGCTCCCTAAAGTGTAGGTGCACCCTTGAATAAGGTAGTACTTACTCTTAGTTTTTATACACCACATCACACGCTAGTACTTTAAAAAAAAAACATAAGTGTTAGAAACTCTTGGTTAAGTTGAGTGCCCAAAGCTAATCAAAATTGTTTTTCCTCATTTATTCGTATTCTCATATGACTAAATACTTATCAATCCTTATTCGGTTATGACAATTCCCATTTACTCCATATGGTTAATGCGAGGACCTTCCATGTTAATCTATCTAAACTGAGTGGCATCCTCTTGACCAACTCGGCTTACGTAATTCAACTCTGGTAATCCCTGGAGATGACATCTGCATACTCCACTAGCACAAGACACAGGATCTCAATTGCATAATATCCACATATAGCCGCCACAACTCAAGATCGTCAGAGAGAACATAACTATAGATTCAATCAACCAGTATTGCCAAAACATAATGTCCTCATCAATGGCACCAAGACATGCTTCTATTAGCCCAAATTCGAGAAGATATTTTAGGTGGCACTGGCATTGTGTGGTGATGGTTGATCATACACCAAAAGATGGTAAACAAAAGCTACGCAAGTGCAT